AACGACCACCACTGCTCTAACAAAAAAAAAAAAAAACCACCTCCACCATTACTCGCACCACCGCACCACCACCGCCCCATCACCACCACCACCATTGCAAAATCATATCCATATACACTTGACAAATCAGAAACACACCTCTGCTCACTCAAACCTCACTTGGCCACCAATGTTGAAAAAAAAAAATAAAAAAAAAAATCAAATGCGACACCACCGCAAAACCACTAACGATAGCACCACCACCCACCATTGCCACAACCAAACACCCGGCACCACTGACCATCACCACCACTACCAAACCACCTCGATAAACTGCCTCAAAACCACTTGTGACCACCGTTCGCAACTGCTTGAACCATCACCCCACCACAACCTAAATCAACACACAAACATGCGACCGCCACCACCTACAGTACACCATTGGAGGAATGAAAGTCTTCCAAAAAGCGGGCAGTGTCGCGCGAACTGAGCGTCGCGGCTCAGATCATCGACGCTCAGTGACGATTTGATCTTGCCGGCTGCTACTCTGGTCCTCAACGTTACGTCGTGTTGTTCCGATGGTGGCATCTTCATGGTGACGGGCGGCGGCATCTTGAGGGGTAGAGAGAGAGAGTGAAGAACAGGGGGTTGCTTCTAAGGGATAGAAAGAGTGAAGAAATGTTGATAGAGATAATTATGGTTTGTAAGTTGTATATATTGGAGTATATTAATAAAATATTTATTTTATAAAAAAATTGATTAAAATAAAATTTCTGATTTTTGAAATATATAACTTTCCATCTGATTTTAGAATGTTGAATAGTTAAACTATGATTTTGTGTAATTTCCACTCTAAAAGAACTCTTAGCTATTTGACTAAAGCTCACTTTTTGACTAAAAAATAGATTAAAAAACCCGTTCTAGAGAAGTCATAATTTTGAGCTTTTGAAAAAACACTTAGCTCTTACTAAATGCTGTAAATTACATTCTTTTAAAATTAACTAAATACATATTAATGTATAAAAATACAAAAGCACTTTTATGGTTATAGGGCCAAATATTTAATTTTTAATTTATAATACTTTCAAAAGTATATTGCCACAGCACTATTGCTAAAGACTTTATCACGTCTCTGTCATTCCATCTATATGTACTAGAAGATTTTATTCAATCGATTTGTTTTTAGAGTCATATTATATTGGTAATTGTTGTCTTAAAGAAAAAGGAGATAAATTTTGAGGGAAAATTGCAGTCGAGGTACCAAACCTTTCGTTTATTAGCAGACTTTCCCCAAACTTTTAGTTTGTGCCATCGGAGATACCAAACCTTTAAAAAATGAGTAGGACTAGTCTAAATGACGGTTTTCGTTTGTTTGACCGTCAAAACCATTAGTTGACCCCTCTAATGATATTTTCAAGAATTTTCTCCAAATAAGTGAAGGGCAATATGGGCATTACACACATTTCTTTCATATTATATACTTCACCGTTTATTTCACTCAATTTCTTTACCACCATATTACCTCCTACCTTCTCTCTCATAGGTAGTAAAAAAAAATCAGAACGCACATGGAGTTGAATGTATGTAGATGTGGTTTTTCGGTGCACATGAAGACCTCGTGGACAAACCTAAACTCGGGAAGAAGATTTCTCACTTGTCTTCGAAGCCAAGATGTGGGTGGATGCACTTTTTTTATGTGGTGTGACCCTCCAATGTGTGAGAGATTGAAAGAACTGATTCCTGGTTTATTACGAGCTAGGAGGAAAATGGAAGCTGAAATCAACACCCTTCAAGCAACAAGACCAAATGTGTGGAAGATTTGGCTCTTCGGATTTGTGTGTGGCGTGTTTGCAAAATGGGTTTGTTCCTAGGTATGTAGGGTTAATTTGTAGGATGTTAGTATTTAGTTCCAGAAATTTGAGTTTAAGGTTTCGGCATGGAGCCATGTGTTAGATGTTGTGAAATACATATGTAAAAGGGAAAAATTGTGCTGTGTCTTTTTACTTGAAATGAAGTGCCCCTTTTTTCCTGTACTTAATCTGCCTTAATAGATGATAACGATCTTTTCTTGGCCTCTATGTAAAATGCGAAAGTAAAAGATCTGATTACACTCCAAACTTTTCTGCAGAAGGTGCAGCATATGTACCAAACCTTATAACGATTCACATAATTAGTACCAAACATTTTCTAATGGTTTCAGATAGAATACCAAACCTTTAAAAATATTTCAGTAAAGGTACCAAACGTTTGATAATACTTTCATAGGAAGTATCAAACATTTTCACATATTTCCTAATCGCCTATCAGATCTTACGAATACAATTTCAGAAACTAACGACAACCAGCAGAAACATAATGTAAGAAATTCGACATCAACATTATCATCACATTCAACAATTTCACCAGAAATTTCAGTTACATCTACAAAATAACAGCATTGGAAGCACATATTTCCAGTTCAGTTGACAAAAAACCATAGTATTTTCCTAAAAAAGTAAGTAACTATACAAGAGAAACCACATGATGTTCAAGATTTCGATCCTCTATTGTTGGATTTCTTTGTCTGTGACTTGGAGGTTTCCGTTGAATGTACTTTTCTCTTTTCCTTCGCTGATCTGGTCTGTGTATCTTCTTGGGACTCTATTTGTGTGGTTGGTTGAGACTGTTGTTGTGAACCACCTTCGTCAGGTAGTGGTCTCTTACAGCTTCTATTGTTATGTCCGGACCCTCCACAGCATTGAAACGTCATCTTCATGTCAGTCCTTCCCATCTTAACTCCTGCAGGTGGCTCTGCCTGTGACCTCTTCCTCATCTTTTTGGGTCTGCCAGCCTGTTTTCTCTTCTGAGGTTGATTGAGAGGATGCTTTCCCAATTCTGACCACAATTCAAGCCATGACATCAGGTGAATCACCGGGGAGTAACACTTGAGATATGTTTCATTGTTGTACCATGGTCGATGTACTCATATATGCCAATATCCCTTGAAAGTATGTCTGATATTGCATGGGGACATAGTATTCCAGTGAGTTGCCATTTTCTGCGTGCACATCCATATTTTGTCAAGTCAACGCTTCACCTCAAATCGTCTCTGCTGCTTATTTCAAATTTATGGTTGCCTGCATAGTCTGCTTTCAAGTATCTTGCTTCAGATTTAGCCTTTTCAATGATTTTCACAATTCTTGGCCCGAATGCATGATCCCACCTTTGTGCTGCTTTCCTTTTTGCATTCATCCTAATCATTTGTTGATGCCGAATTTTCTCTAGCATCAAGATGATGGGCTTGTCTTTGGCAACAACAATGGAAGAATTGAATGCCTCACACAAATTATTAAGAAGAACATCACATCTCGAATGCTCTTCGAAAAGGGATCTGGTCCACTGGGAAGGAGTTTTTCAAGAAACCAGTTGTAAGTCTCTTCACTTATGTCTTTTAACTCATTCATTGCATTCTTCTACTCTAGCACTGTTGTTGCCCTTGCTGCAGTCCAAAATAGGATCTTAAGGGCTAGTGTAACGACCTGGGTCTCTGTACCCAAATCATTAGCTTACGTACTATCCACTTTGGGTGGGCCTTGCGCCCACTTACCCCTCACGGCTTTCTATCGCGTTCCTCAGGATTCGAACTCATGACCTTCTCCTTAAGTAAAACTTAAATTGAATCCTGATACCAATACTTGTCCAATTGGTATCAGGATTCAACTTAAGTCTTACTTTAGGGGAAGGTCATGAGTTCGAATCCTGAGGAACACGACAGAAAGTCGTGAGGGGTAAGTGGGCGCAAAGTCCACCTAAAGGTGACAGTTTAGCTACAGAGACGCGGGTCGTTACAAAGTTATATTAACTTAATAAACTAAATAGGTGGTTAATTATATATTGCATATTAATATTATTTGTTAAATCCTGTGAGTGACCATGAGTATGTAAGTGCATGTATACGTGTATGGATTTGTATAATGTAAATATAGAATTCTTAATTTCTGACCATTTTCCCCAATGCTATAATTAACAATTCTTAAATTCTCTACAGTTTCATTTTATTGATTGTGTGTATATAGTTGTATGTAAGTGTGTTTGCACATTTCTATGACTTCTCTATTTTCTTTTCATTCATTTTCCATTAAAAACCATTACTTCATGTTGAAATTGAAACCATTGCCAGTCTGTACTTGAGGCCAAATTACATTAATTTAATATTTTAATTATATCTCTTGTCATATTGGTAAGAGATATTTGCTAATTTACATCTTTAAATTATTTAAGATTGTATATTTTTTACTTCCAGTCTATTTGTTTATATATAGAGATATGGTAAACACCTTGGACGTCTTTGCAAAACTTTAGACATATGAATAAGTTGTAGTTACTTATGTCGGTGTAAGATTTTGTCGATGATACATAAATGGTGTAAATGTGTTTATGACAAAATAAACAAATAAAAAAAATAAAATTTGAAGATATGATGTAATGTATATATATTTAAGTTATTAAGAAGGTAAGAATTTAAGAGATTGTTGGCACTCAACGACCACCACTCGACCACCCTCTGACGATTCTAAGGTATGTAAAAGAGTAAGAAAACGTATTTATTTTAACTTTTTGCATAATTTAAATATTTTAAATTGCCTACTTTTAAATTTCAAGACATACCGTTTGTTGACTCGCTAAATTATGATATATAGGTATAAATGTTAGATTTAGTATTGGTGTGTGACGAATAACTTAAATTTTTAGGAAATGGTCCCACCTACCCATACAAATTTGATGCGTGACTTGTTGCAAGCGGTACAAGAGTTGACCAGACAAAATCAAGCTCTTTCACCACAAAATGCACCGCCACAGCAGGATACACCTCCATTCGTTCCTGGAGCGATTATGTAGTTGAGCAGTTTCGTAGGTACAAGCTTCCTACATTCGACGGTGATTCTGACCCACTGGTTGTTGAAGAGTGGATTAGAGGCCTGGAGCGCATTTTTCGACACATTTCTTGTACAAACGCACAGAAGGTACTATGCACAAAATTCATGTTGGTTGGAGCAGCCGGTCACTGGTGGGAATCAATCTCACGTACTAGGACCGAAGAACAACAGCGTAACTTAACTTGGGAACAATTTAAGGATAAAGTGATGGCAAAGTACTTTCCACAGGCTCTGAGAGTTTTCAAGGAATCGGAGTTTCGACAGCTCAGACAGGGAAACTTATCACTTACTGATTACGAGAGGCAGTTCGAACAATTCTCAAGGTATGCCCCATACTTGGTGGATACGGAAGTTAAGAAAATCAGGAGGTTCGAGAATGGACTACGACCAGAGATCGGCATGATCATTATGTCTCACCGTTTCGCTTCATATCGTGAAATGTTGGAAAGGGCTCATGCTATTTCATATCAAAGGACTACATTTGAACAGTATTCCCAGCAAAGCAAGGAGTCCTTGGGAAAAAGAAGGTGGAATGATCATAGCAAGGATAGATGTAGATGGCCGAATAAAAGACCGAGCACAGGAATTCGTATTGGTGGGACAAATGGGATTATTCCACCTTGTCCTAAGTTTAATAAACTCCACAATGGTTAATGCTTATTTGGTAAGAACACGTGCTTTCGATGTGGTAAGCTAGGACACATTGCCTTACACTGTATAGAACCTCTAAAGAAGAAAGATGATGATCAGGACAAGAACAAGAATCGGAAGACCTGAGTTTTTGCACTAAACTAGCATGAGGCGTAACAAGATCATAGTGTGATAGCAAGTATTGTAATATTATTTAGAATATTTATTTATGTTCTAAATTTTACATTCTTGGGCACTAGGTCTAACACTATTATTACAGAAACAGGTATCCTATCATTATCTGATGTACCTGCTTACGTACTTTTTGACTCTGGGGCTACAAATTCATTTATCTCTGCATCCTTCGTCGTTAGGTCTAACTTTGCACATGTGAAAACGAATAATGAATTAGAGGTTAGCATCCCTTCAGTAAGAACTCTTTGCACTAATCAGATGACTAAGGCTATGAAATTAGAGATTGATGGGAAAATACTACAGGTAGACTTATACATTTTGGAGATGAACGATTTTGGCGTTACTTTAGGCATGGACTAGTTGGGACTCAACCATGCAACCATTCGATGTCATGAAAGAGAAGTATTATTTCATAGGTCGGGAGAGGAAGAGTTCCATTTCTTTGAAGCAAAGTTCAAATCTTTACCTCGTCTTGTATCGGATATACAAGCGAAGAGGATGTTGAGAAAGGAGTCATGTCAGGGATTCTTAGTTAATATCAACGGTTCCAAACATGTCGAGACAACTGTTAAAGATATTAACATTGTGCGAGATTTTGTAGACGCATTTTCAAAAGACCTACCCGGCATTCCACAAGATAGGCAGGTGGAATTTATTATTGACTTAGTTCCCGGCGTGGCACCAGTATCTAAAGCCCTGTACTGAATGGCACCGAAAGAACTCCAAGAATTGAAGTTACAATTGGAGGAGTTACTGGAAAAAGGATTCATTCGACCAAGTGTATCTCCTTGGGGAGCTCCAGTACTTTTTGTGAAGAAGAAGGATGAGAGTATGAGGATGTGCATTGATTATCGAGAATTGAATCATTTAACTATCAAAAAAAGATACCCCCTACCAAGAATAGAAGATTGGTGTTTTCGAAGATCGACTTGAGGTCTGGGTATCATCAGCTGAAGATCAAGGCAAGCGATATACCAAAAACTGCTTTTAGAACTCGTTATGGGCACTACGAGTTTACTGTCATGCCTTTTGATTTGACCAATGCTTCGGCGGTATTTATGGACCTAATGAATCGAGTGTTTCATCAGTATTTGGACAAGTTCGTCATAGTATTTATTGACGATATACTTGTGTACTCCAAAGATATGAAGCAGCATGAGGAACAACTTAGAATAGTACTTGATCTTTGAGGACGGAGATATTATATGCCAAATTCAAGAAGTGCGAATTTTGGTTCCATCGCATAGGTTTTCTTAGTCATGTGGTTACCGCCCAAGGAATTGAAGTAGATCCAGTTAAAGTGGAAGCGGTAATTAATTGGCCTAGCCTGTCGAGTGCAAGTGAAGTTCGCAGTTTCTTAGGATTGGTCGGCTATTATCGGAGATTTATAGAAGGTTTCTCAAAAATAGTAGGTTCGATGACTCAGTTGACTTGAAAGGGTGTGAAGTTCTAGTGGACGAAAAAATGTGAGAAGTGTTTTCAAGAACTTAAACGGAGACTAGTCTCAACTCCTATTTTGACTATACCTGATGGTTCGGATGGTTTGTAATTTATAGCGATGCCTTCAAACAAGGTTTGGGTTGTGTTTTGATACAACATGGAAAGGTGATTGCTTATGTTTCGAGACAGTTGAAACAGTACGAGCAGAACTATCCAACGCATGACTTGGAACTAGTAGCGGTGGTTCATGCCCTAAAGATATGGCGTCATTATCTCTATGGTGGGAAATGTGAAATTGATACAGACCACAAGAGCCTCAAATACTTCTTCACACAGAACGAACTAAATATGAGGCAAAAGAGATGGTTGGAATTAGTGAAAGATTATGACTGTACAATCCATTACCATCTAGGTAAGGCTAACGTAGTTGCAGATGCCCTAAGCAGGAAGACAGGATCACAATTAGCAATTTTACCCACGGTGCAAGAACACTTGATACAGGACTTTGAAAAGCTGAGGTTGGAAGTTATCACTCCGTCAACTAGGACTACAGCGAGAATAAGAGTGTTTATAATTAGACCTACTCTTCAGGATCGAATCAAGGAAGCACATGATAAGGACTCATTTCTACAGAAGATAAAAGCTGAGGTTGGTACAAACAAACGTATAGGATTTGAGGTATCTGTGGATAACTCGTTAACTTTTAAATGAAGGTTGTGTGTACCTAAAGATGAAAGTATAAGAAATGAGATATTGAAAGAGGCTCATTCTACCCCGTATGCTGTGCATTCAGGCAGTACAAAAATGTATCGAGATCTTTGAAATACATTTTGGTGGAGAAATATGAAGAGAGAAATTGGACTATTCATGGAGAAATGTATTATCTGTCAGCAAGTTAAGGCAGAACACCAAAGGCCATCAGGTTTATTGAACCTGTTGGACATACCAGAATGAAAATGGGAACATATAGCGATGGATTTTGTGGTAGGCTTTCCGAGGCCAGCAAGAGGACACGATGCTATTTGGGTAGTAGTTGATCGTTTGACAAAATCAGCCCATTTTCTGCCTATCAAAGTAAATTTTAGTATGTAACAGCTCACACAGTTATATATCAGAGAGATAGTCAAACTGCATGGAGTTCCTGTCACCATTGTTTCAGATAGAGATCTGAGATTCACATCAAAATTTTGGAAAAGTTTGCAGGCAGCCATGAGGACGAAATTGAAGTTTAATACTATTTATCATCCACAAACGGATGGACAATCAGAAAGAACCATTCAAACTCTTGAAGATATGTTGAGGACATGTGTTTTGGACCTTGGCAGTAGTTGGGAGACACACCTGCCGTTAGTGGAGTTTGCTTACAATAATAGTTTTCAAGTCACTATAGGCATGGTCCCATATAAAACACTTTATGGTAGAAAGTACAGGTCCCCTATCCATTGGGATGAGGTCGGGGAAAATAGAATTTTAGGTTCTGAAATCATTGAACGAACAGTTGAGGCTGTTGATAAGATTAGAGCAATAATAAAGGCAGCGCAGTTCGACAGAAAAGTTATGCTGACGTTAGAAGAAAAGATTTAGAATTCCAATTGGGTGATAAAGTTTTTCTAAAAGTAGCACCAATGAAAGGTGTGTTGAGGTTTAGAAAGAAAGGGAAGTTGAGACTACGATTCATTGGACCTTTTGACATTCTTGAAAGGATTGGTAGTGTGGCTTACCGACTTACCTTACCACCTGAACTGGCAGTAGTGCATAATGTGTTTCATATCTCAATGCTTAGAAAATATGTTCACGATCCCAACCATGTCGTAAGTTACCGAACTTTGGAAGTACAAAAGGACCCGTCGTATGAAGAAATTCCAATAATGATTTTGGACAGAAAGGTGCATCAACTCAGAAATAGAGAAGTTCCACAAGTCAAGGTGCGATGGCGTAATCAAGGGCTGGACGAGTCAACATGGGAGAAGGAAGATGAGCTTAAAAGCAAGTATCCAGAACTCTTCGATTAGTTAAGGTAATTTTCGAGGACGAAAACATTTAATGTGGGGAGATTGTAGAGCCAAAAAAATAAAATAAAATAAAATAAATAAATAATAATAATAAATTTTGATAGAGCAAGTATAAGTATATCAATATCGGGCTCGTTAGATAGCTCGTGATTAATCATGCATATTTGGCTCATATTTTTGACATTGGAAGATAGTACCTAAATTCATAATTAATTAAGTTAATATACATTCTTCCTATCAATTCACATGTGCACTAGTTGAATGAAGACATATTGTTTCTTAGTTGGTAATGATTTGATGTTGATGGAGAGATAAAGTAGCATTTTTTTAATAATTAATTGCCTTGATTTTTGGGGATTGATAAGAGTTGTCAATTAGTTTGATTTTAATATTATTTTCTTGCTTTGATTTTGGGAGTTTGTAGGGATTAGCATGTGTAGATTCAATAGGAAAGGAAATGGTTTTCTTGATTTCTTGATTTTTGGAATGGAGACTTTTGTGGGAGTTTGTGTAGGGATTGGCACGTGTAGATTTAATAGGAAAGGAAATGGTTTTCTTGATTTCTTGATTTTTGGAAAGGAGACTTTTGTGGAAGGAAAAATCACGGTATCATGCAAATTTTTGGCCTATTAAAAATTTAATTTCCCTTTTCAATTTTATATACAATACAAAGTAATCTCTATCTATCCTAAAAAAAAAGGAAAAGAAAAGAAGAGAGAAAAACATAAATACTTATGTTGGTGGCAGTAAAATTTCAAGCAGAAAATAAAGATTTTGAGAACGTGAAATTTTTACTTTCTCCCAACAATCTTCTTATCGGTCAAGGTAGAACTACGAGGTGCAAGTGTTTTGTCCTGTTTAAATTATTTTTTTTCCATGTTGATAATTTATTATACTTATGAAAGTTATAAAATGATATGATGATTTCGATATGATATGAAATGACTATCCGGTATCAAAGATATGATATGCCATGAGCTCTTACCGATTTCAAATGATATGAATGACGGTATGATTATTTTTGAAGCACGATCTAAATATTTTATCTGGGATTGCACCACTATTTTTTTTGTATCCTACTGAGTATTCTCATGTACTCACACTTTTTCCCCACTTCTTACAAATTAGAACGGGTCGTTGGTGTCAGTGAAGTGCCAGAAACATTTCCTTAAGCTGTGGATTGTCTGAAACTGTCTGTTGGTCCTTTTCTATTGCTTCTTTAGGTTGCTCCATCGATTCCTTATCCTTAGTAGGCATTTGAGTTCTCTCTGTCTCCTTCCTCTTTACAGTGATTTCTGGCAATTGAACACCATTCCTAGTAGTGATGGCCTGAACCTGCTCTGCTGTTGGCTGGCGTTGAAGTCTTTGAGGAAATGGAATGGGTGGCACATAAGCTTTGATTGGGGTGGTGGATGTGGTAGATGGGAGCTCAATAGTTGCATAATTTACCGCTTCAGCTACTAATACCTGCTCTCGTGGGTTCTTCTCTGTGTCATTCGGCAAGGTACCCTGTGGTCTGTTGGCTAATGCAGCTGCTATCTGTCCCACCTGATTTTCTAGGTTATGTATGGAAGCCTGTTGATTCTGCATTACTGTTTCAGTCTTGGATCTTCTAAGGATTGCCTCTTACCTTGCTGTTGCTGAATTACTGGTGGATTGCCCTTCATCCGATTTACTTGATCTGGATTATCCACCTACGAATAGTTGGGATGCTTGTTCAAACCCGGATGTAGTTGTATGGGTAAGATCCATTTTGCCTCTGATAGTTCTGCGCATAACTGACCTCTGCTGACTGATCCATGTGAGTAGAAGCCAAAGGGCAGCTTGAAGTGATGTGATCTGCCCCACAACCTGCGCATACCGGAGCTGGATGTTGTACTTTGTGCACATATTGAGTTAAAGTATCAAGCTTCTTTGTTATTGCTTCCATCTGCGCTGCCAATGCTGTCACTGCGTCCACATTATGCAATCCAGCTGTTTTTCTCGGAGCTTTCCTATCTGTTAGCCAGTTGGCCTGATTTTCAGCAATCTTCTCAAATAAATTATGTGCATCATCCACCTCGATAGTCAAAATTGATCCACCCGTAGAAGCATCAACTATATTGCGAAATTCAACGCGTAGTCTATTATAGAATAGATTTATTTGTGCCAGTTTAGGAACATCAAGATTTGGACATTTCCTAAACGCACTTTTGAACCTGTCCCATGCTTCCGGATATGTCTCATGATCCTTCTGTCTGAAAAGATATACTCCTTTTCTGATTTGGTGGACTCGGGATGATGGGAAAAATTTCATGGTAAATTTTTGTACCATGTCATTCCACGATATGATGCTCCCAGGGGGTTGTGACATCATCCATATTTTTGTACCTTCCTTCAAAGTGTGAGGGAATAAACCGATTCGGAATGCATCTTGTGACATCCCCTCATGGTTAATGACATCACAAAGCATGGTAAAAGTTTGACTATGTTTGTGTGGATTTTCCGTAGCTTTCCCGCTAAACATGATGTCTTGATGATTCTGGAAAAGATTTATGACATTTGGTCGGATGTGAAAGTTTGCTTATCCGAACGGTGGATAGACAATAGGAGGTTGAATCGGTGCAGGTACTGGATTCACATAATCTCTAACCAATATAGGCTGAGCTGGAGGTGGTTGTTGAACCTAAAGTGTTGCATTCTGCAGTGCATTTTGAATCTGATCTTGATTCTCAGCCATTACCCTCGTTCTTCTTAGTTCTCTTAGCATTGTTTAAAGGTTATTTCGATTTCGAGATCTAGTAAAAGCCTTAAGAGTAAAATAAGAAGAAATTAGGTATCACGATTAAAGCCTAAAATAACAAAAATAATAAATAAATAAAAATAAAAATAATAAAAATTTCAAATCCAATGTAAACTAATAAACTTAAACTAAAAATTTATTCCCCAGCAACGGCGCCAAAAACTTGTTGGTGTGATACCCGCAAGCATACGAGATCGTTGACAAGTAATAATAAATGAGTTAAGAGTTATCGTCCCACAGAGAATAAATTTAATTCAAGTTTACTAGTTTCGTATGGAATTCTAGTTATGAAAACAAAATAAATATTTTGATTTGATTTAAACTAAATTAATCTAAGAAAGCAATAAAAATTGGGGTTTTATCAAATTATGGAGGATTGTATTGAATTTTGACTCCGCCTATTGCCATTTATTTCAATTCTTGATTCGTAATCTAATTTCCTTCACGAGTTCTTGATAATCGATAACACTAATATGATAAATGTTCTTTTTCAAGATATACCAACCTATCATTAACACGACCTGATCCTATTCCTAGTCCGAATTCATATGAAAATCATGCATTTAGTTTAAGTTATCAATATGATTGCATGTATGATAGATATTATTCCTAATCCTAACTATACATGTTAATTTTGCAGCATTTTAGACTCGTTGTGAGTATTCCTACACTACAACAAGCAACTAACTATTCAATTGATGACCAAATAATTTAATAGTGCAATGGGAATGCAAAATTAATCAAGTAACACACGAATTAAACTAAATACGTGTTTTGAATTAAAATAAATAAATAATAGGGTTCATCTAATCCAATACAATGAAAAACTAGCCTAGCATATTAATATATAAATTACAAGAAGAATAATAGAAAAATATCACCCGGATCATGAAAGAATACAAAAGATGTTGATCTTCACATCCAAAGTTGAATTCTTCAAAACTTGATGTAATTGAACTTCAATTCCTTGCTATGGCTATCTTCTCTCTCAAAATATAGCAATTGACCCCTTGTTCTTGATAGATTTGATGAAACTATTGTGTATGAAGAGGCAAGAGAGAGACCCTTTCATTGCTGCCCATATCTTGTATTTATCTGATGAAATTAGGTCAAAATTCACGTCCAAATTGTCTTCCAAAAGAGTTTGAATCAAATAAGAAAAGTTGCCTTCGCGCGCACATAATTTTGTCTCTCCATAGCCTTCAGTAGTTTGATCATAACTTTCTCTTTCGGTGTCCGATTCAGGTGATTCAAAGTGCATTGGAAAGCTAATTAAAATATCTACAATTCTTCTAGAAATACAATTTTCCCAATTCAAACGTTCTCTATCGGAAAAATGGGTCTCAAATTGATTAAAAATCTTGAAAATATCTTATATGATTGGAAGTTGATTTATGGTAATATTCTAATCATATCTCTTTTCTTTTTGACTCCAATTTGCATTCAATTGACTCCTATAATTCTTCAAAGTATATTTTGTGGTCCAAATCAACCATTAAATATTTACACTTTGGTCCCCATACTTTGAATTTGCTTTATTTAGCCATTTTCCGTTCTTTTTTTCCAATTCTTCTTTGAAACATGAACTTTTCCTAATAAAAGCAATAAATAACAAATTAGGTACTAATCCGTTCAAAAATTAACAAAATATCATCATTTAATATCTCAAATATGTATAGAAACTACACTTATCATATTTCTTTGCCAGAAAATTCGAATTAACCCTTTTATTTTGCCACACCTTAGTACATGTGTGCTCATCTACCAATGTGTTAATTCTAAGACTCTTGTCAGGTTGTTGGTATGTACACAGAACCTAAGGACAATTATCTTGACATCGAACTCTCAACTGTGTCCTCATATTTTTCACGTATCTCACTTGTCTGGAATTTTTGATTGAGTATTAAACTACTACATTCCTTAGAATCTTGACGTTGTCGAATTTTATCCCTGGTAGAAATGAACATAGCATACTATCATAAATTTCTTCAATCAAGAGAACAATGTACGTGTTAAACAAAACAAATGCATTACCTAGCTTGAACTGTAATAATCCATATAAGTTGCAGGGTTAAATCAACACATATTCTTGCTTTTGGCAGATGATCCCTCAGCCTTCGTATCACTGGGTAAGCTTCTAAGCTTATTGGAGTTTTCGTAGTCTGTTCCAACTTCTTCCCCAGCAGCTGCCTCACCTTCCTGCTCACCTCTTACACCA